GTTCACAGTCGGTTCCACATCGCTCCCGCCCTCTCCGTCGACTGCTCTTCCAACCTATAAATGCAACCGGACTGTTCTTCCAACCTTAAATAACCAGAGACTATGATTGCTGCTAATATGTCTCTTCCTGTGGTCCAATCCGCTGCCAGAAATCCTAAACGCTCTCGTACGAATTTTTCCATCACGGTATCATCGTCTTACAACATCCTAGAGCCCGATCTCTCAGCCTCGACCTCTACCGACTGCAGCCAGTTCCTTTTCCGGCCAGATTCCAGCATTTTGAGCCTTCTCCGATCACATTGACCCGCAAACTAATTGGATTTTCTAGTACTTCCAATGCCTAGAAGACTGGCTCGATCTCATTGAAGAGAAAGAGGATGTTTAACTGCTCAAGCGACGCCGAGATGCTTTCTACTGTTGTCCCCATTTTGAAGCCCTCCTTATGTCTTTTGATGTTCACAAAAAGGGGGGAGATATAGGCATGAATAAAGGGGGAGAAGAAAATTAGGGGGGAGTCATGTATCTGTTGGAGAATATATTTTATAGATAACAGGGAGAGAACTTACACAACTGTGTTCTCTACTTATCTAACCCTCTCTGTATTTTCCAGTTCTCTAAATACAGTCAACCAGCACTATCTTGGATTTTATTTTGCAAAAAATTAATGGAGTTTTTGAACATGGTAAGTGATCATAGTTCTGGAAAATTGCTCTTATTATTTTTCAAGTCTTATCAGACTGACGATTGACCTTAAATTCTGTTCTGATCAATCCTTTGTGACTTCTGTCACTGTTGAAAACAGTTTGCCGCCTCTTGAAATCTAACAAACGCGGATACCTGCAAGGACCTTTGAATGGTGTTCTGGATTGCCATGGAAACAATTTCCCGACTTAATGTTTGTGCATGATGCTCTGAACTGTGTTTTGACTTCTGTATAACCGTTTTGACTATCAATGTTACGATCAGATTTTACGATCCGTTCCGATGGAATGATTTTTCTAACTCGAAATATGAGTCATCGGCTAGTTCAGGTGGGAAGTGCCCCATTGGACAGAAACTTTCAATTGAAGACCCATGCGATTCATGCTGCGAGAAATCTTAGAGCATAATGATATAAGCATAAACTTGAATTCTGAGTTGATTCCCAGAATGCCAAGTTTGATAACATGAAATACCTCATTCTGAGTTAACTGTCTAGCAGCAGAACTGATGCATGGAAATTGAGAATATGCATAGTATTTGTCCTATGATCAATTGAGAGAAAGGTAGTGTTTGATGGTTTTTCATTCCCATAGAAATTTGTTAAATCTACTGTATTATCTATTCTGATGTAGTCTGAAAATCAAATGTTTAATTTTGAAGATTTTGAATTATTGATCGTACAAAGTGTACGTCCATATTTACCTGTCGAGATTCCAACTCAGAATTAGCTATAGGTTTACACCAGAAAAGAGAAAGTTCATACCAGAAAAGCACGTATAGTCAGTTCTCAACGGATATAGTGCATTGCTCGTGCACTGTTGTTCAAGGTAAATGCTCGTGCATTGCAATGATGCAGTTTGTATTTCAGGAATTTCTGAAAATGTGAACTCTCACTGAGTCATAAACACCTCGAAATACGGAAATAAAAAGCATGGTCATTGGTGAAGACCATAGTACCAGTGATCTCAAACATTTTACAGAACGTACAGATGCTTGAGAAGTGTGGCCTATACTTCCCGTCTTCTATGCAAGACTATCCCCTTTGACTCCTGGATTCTCTCCCTTTTCTTTTACGACTGAATTCCCACCATTCTGTCAACATGAGAGGGGTTCCCAAAATGTACAGCAGCAACCTGGTTCCGTTCGGTTCAGCACCTGGAGTGTGGCAGCAGAGTTTGGGGAGAAGGTGTCTGGGCATCACATGGGCATCAGGGCGCCTACTTTCTATTTAATGAGGTGTAGACATTCTTCGAAGTACTGATAGAATTTAGTATGTCCTCAGTGTGAACTGGTCAACGCGATCGGTGAAATATTGAGTGGGTGGTGTGCGGCTGGGCGACGGGGCAGCCGAAGGAGGTGGACCCGGAGTAGATGCTCTTCGATAGATCCATCGGCTGTTGAGACGTACGGTTTATCGGAGCAAGTGTACGCTTGTCAATCACATTGGACTCTTCGAGGTAAATCTGAAATTCTCCATCACCATTGACATGGAAATGGTAGAGGATTCGGGTGTTGCTCGAGAAGTAGGGAAGTGAGAAGGAATATGAGACTTAAACATACAGTGGATAATCAAGTGACCAGGCCGTGGAATGCTTCATCTTCAAGCAGATGATGGAGTAAGAAGAGATGCTTCTCATTAATCCAAAACAACAATCTACTGCAGAGGGTATAATAATTTGATGGTGATTAAGCATGAAAGACCGATGTGGATTACAAGCTGTGATACGTGGATTGGATCCAGGGATAGATTCAAGATTCCAGTGGTTGTCAAGAGCAGAGTTCATGACTCAGACAATTTTAGCCAAGATCTCAATTTTCTAGTCTATGAAAAACATCTTAAATTGTTCAACCAATTGTGGGATAAATGACTTGTTGGCATGTGACCAGAGATCTCCACCTGGGCTTGGAGAAAATTTCATAAAGATTAAAGCCAATGGAATTATTGAATTTAAGCTGAGCAGTTTTGAATAAGGAATTTTCTTTGAAGTTGAATGAAGTTGAATCTTGGGCACATTCCGATGATGCAAACTATGCAGAAGACTGCTTTTCAATATTGGCTTGGAGGAATTGGTAAATGTTTTGTTGGGTCCCTAGATGATGGCGGTTCACGTAGGAGTTAAAGATTTAGCACCTGCATCAAAAGTATTTTCATTATGAATTGTTAGTTTTGAAATAGATGAATAATAATTTTAGGTTATGTGAAATGTGAACGACCATAATGTAAATCAAGTGAATTTACTGAAGGGTATAATTCTAAATAATTATGAGTGACCTTGAATGGGATGATTTTTATATTGAAAATAGAGGTATGCATAGATTTGTAACTCCACAATGAAATAAGTGACACATCTAAATTCAAAGAAACCATTTTTTAAATATATTTTAATGTTATTGAGTTTGAAATTTCTCTCAAGGGAAAAATGGTCCAAATTTATAACCTATATGATTAAAATAACTTATACGTACAAGATTTTGTCACAAATATGGGCATTGAACTGTCACGAATCCAATGCAAAAAATGGCACGCAAAATTCAAAGTATTTAAACTGTCAAGAACGTTACAAGACTATCACAAATATTTCAGTGAATTCCCAAGTATGCATGCAATCTAGCAAGGTCTGCTAAATTAGCTGGTGAGATGACTACTGAGTCCAGTATACAAACTACATACTAAATTAAGGCAAGGAATGAAAAATAAAAAGGGGAATGAGAAAATTCTGGAGTGAGGTTCCACTTCATCCATCCTCCTATATGAGAATCCAAGAAATCTCCTTTATCGACTGGGAAGCCTAGCTCAATTCAATGCTTTCAGTCACCTGCAACAACAGAAGATGAGCTGATGCTCGACATCTTGAAAAACTTTATCATATGCATCTTCTTCAAAGATTTTCCTCGTTGATGTGCAGGTTGACCCCTTGTTTAACAACATAGTCAAACTATTGTCAAGTCATCAATTTGACCAAATGTCGACTAATTTAGTTTGAAGATGTGTGTCAAAGATTTTCTAACATCTTTCATATTTAGACTTGCTAGGATATACTCATGTCAAAGATCTTTCAACATGTGTTATATTCTACAACGTCATATGTATTAGATTTCAGATAGAAAAATATCCTTTTTTCTCTATTGAGATATGGTCTGATTGACTAGGTTACCTTTTGATTGACACACTTTATCACTTCAGACCATGATGGGCCAACTCACTTTTGTGGGCCAACACATTTCTCTTTTCTTAGGTGGCTGAACACTCTTTTAGTGAGACAACACATGTTTCCTATTAGTTTTCTTCTAAACTATATTATTTTGATCTCATTTGGTTTAGGTTGCATATTTGTTTCTTGATATCCATTTTCTTCATATGATGCCTAATCAATGTATTTGTACAACAGAAAAAACTATACATAACATTCAGATCTTGATTCTTTGGTTAGTGTATCCAGATATATTTTTTAAAATTCATTATGTGATTAATTATTAACATCAAAATCATTGAATCAAACAAATCTTGGAATCAACATTTGAACTAGTGTGATATGCACTATTAAACCAGCCTTTCAAAGATTTTATTATCAAAACTTTTCATCTGCACATTGGCAAATAAGGCCTATGATTCCTGATTGGATCAATCAAAATGCAGCACAATTTTTAAAACTCATTTGGATACTTATTAAAGCTCAGTTGATTTTACAAATACAAACATGCATTGGATTGAAAAGATATTTTGAAAACTGAAATGGTGCAACAAACTATCTCAAGAAACACAACTAAAAATGGTGAAGTGTTTACAGTATTACTTTAGTTAACTATTTTTAAAATATGTGATGTTACAACTAACAAACGTTTTAGGAGCTATTTCTTGTCACTGTCTGACTGTCCGCGAACTTTACCTGCCGAAAATTTAACATTATAAATATAAGACATTGACATACATTACAGGTCAGTGTGAGGGGGAACCGCATTCATCATATACTGATTTATTAGTCTCAACTTTCTCCATAAAAAACGTTCTCTGTCAAAAAATCATTGAATAAACAACCTTTCAAAAACTAGAAATGTTTAATCAAACTGTATACACTACTTGGTTTGTTCCGCCCAGTATTCTTGGCGTTGAAATATGAAGAACGTTCATTCGCTGAAGATCCATTTATTATCCATTTTTATTCGCTTAGGCCATGCATGTAATATATATATATATATAGAATATATATATATATATAAATATAAATATATATAGAATGAAGGTGATGGATCGACAATATAATCCCCTCCTGCGCTCTTTGCGATTACGATTACATTTCTCATTCGGTGATATTCCTGCCCAGGGCCCTGACCCAACTGTTCATCAGCGGATAAAGAGAATATGTGAGGATTCCACACCTTCCGCTCCCACCAACGTTACGTTGTATCATTGCAAAGCCTCCCTCGCCCCAGCCTGTTCCCCAGGAGTTCTTCACAAGCCAGTACTCGATACCATTGTAGTCCGTGCCGTAGCCTATCACGGTAAGGAAGTGATTTGTCTCCGCGCTGCAAGGCCCCCCGAACACTCCCTGAGAAAAGAGGAGAGACTTATAAAAATGAAGCCGTGCTACTAATCGACTTTATGGCATTTCCATCTCATAAAAAAACATTGGTTTTACGCCGACGCACGGGGATCTTGATCAGAGCATGCTATCTGCGCCTTGATGTCTGATGTAGTCGAACAATTTTGAGAAAAAGAAATCGATTCATAAATGGAAAACTGGTTCTTGTTTGAAATCATAAGGTTGGAAAATATTGCCATCCGTTGTGATATATGATGTTTCTAAAGCTGATTCGCTATTCCGACCCGCGTATCGTAGAAGGCTTGAGCAACGGCAATCATGAGATCCTACTGAGTTGCGAACACCGGAGATAATACAAGGTCGCCTCACCGATCTGTGAAATCGAAACCCTTGGCTTGAAGCTTCAATCGCTACACTGACTGGTTGGTACGACACTGCATACTGCAACGCGTAGGAATTGTAGCTCGGCACCTTTCTAAATCCTGAGATGCTGACGACCCGTCTCTGTGATATGAAATCCATGAGGATCACGCTATATTAAGATAAGCATGCAGCAAATCAAAGGAAACCTGTCAAATAGTAGATCAAGGAAAGAGAAGGTTACCCGGTCTGCCCTGCACCGACCTGCAACTCCTCTATAAGGATAGTGACTCGCAGTATCGATGCCTCCGTTCTCTACGACGTATTGGTAGGTGTAGTGAAGATACCCCGGCTTGCAACCTTTATTTCGGTGGTCGCAGTCTACCAGTTCCTGTTCTGAGAGGGTTATCATCCTTCCTGTCGTGATTTTATGCAGGCTCTCGACAGCGGCGACCGTGGCGAATGCCCGACAGCTTTCTGGGACGTCCATCCAAAAGGTAACGAAGTAAACGACAAATCAGTGCTAGCATCAACCTTATAGTATGTGTACTCGGATGTACATATAAACGACAACTTGTGGGGAGAGAACTTTTCCTAATAATGATGAACCTTACAGGTAAAATATCTACTCGTGTGTACACTAGAATCACTATGTGAGGAAAAAACGTTCCTTTCCAAAGGATAAATGCAAAAATTTCAAGGAAAAACGTAAATCCATCTACATCTAAGTCAGATATATAATATTAAAAACTAATACCGGTGCTTCATTCTAACTCGATGTGTGACAGAAGAAATCTTACTAACCGCATACGCCTTGGTTTTTCACAGCGCTGACGGCTCCCCATCTCCTCCAGTCAACAGATGTCGGGAGATATTGGCCTCTTTTCGGTATGTAACGCTTACTGACCGGAGGGGACGGCATTGCACTCAGGTTAAGCGGAGGACCCAGGTACATGGATCGGAACTCTTCGTCGCTTAGATCGGCGAACTGATTTAGGCCGACCGTGTAAGTGTTGTTGTTTCCAGGGCGGTTGTGGTCGTCCACGAATCTCAAGTTGTCTTTGAAGATTTCGAACCTCTTCGCCTTTTCGACTTCATCAGAGTACGATTTGTCGTGATTAACGATCCACTCTTCATATAACCACCTCATCTCCTGATCACTCCTTAACTCATTTCTCTCCGGACTGTCCTCGCGTACAATGGAGTAATCCAACGCGGACGAAAGACCAAACAAGGAGAGCAACAGAGCCAATACTACGGTTTCTCTCCTACACGAATCCATGATTCCCCTCCCAAACCACTCCTTGATATCTTATCGAAGAAATCTGAGGAAAGGTGAACAAAGGGTGGTTTTGGAGAAAGATTTGATGTGAGTTTCACAATGCAAGACTAGCCAGGAGAACACTCGTATTTATAGACATAGGAGATTAAAGAAAGGCAGACAAGGGATATGTCGCCGTAGTGGTCAGAATACGATTGAGGTCCTCATCAATGCCGGCAAAACTCGTTTTGTGCATGAAACAGGTGCTGATGTCCTCCACCGGTTGATGATCAGAGCAAGCATATACGTCGCACCTACAGATATGAGAGCTCAGAAGATGCCATTTCTAAAATATTGGTCTAATCCGAAGAAGTCAGGAAGCCAGCGTGCACGACAAAGAGATTGTGAGATGATTTTCCATCATTATATGAAACGTTTTTCTCGAGAGCTTAATCCGACTCTGTGGAATACTCTTAACATTGAATGAAACAATTAAATATTTTAATAAATATACTATGAGTAGACTTGTCATGGATTTATATCATAAGGATCCAAATAATAATATCATAAAAGGTATTTAGACATGATTAATTTTAAACCAAACTCTAGTGCTCATTAGTTATCAGCATGCTTCCAAGTTTTAACGTTCTCTCTTCTATTCCATGTGATTCGAGTTCTTATTCATCTTCCAGCAGTTCACTAGAAACACCAAGACCAATATTGTTCAAACCCTATGTTAAGAAATAGTATTTGGAATGGGATCTTAATGGGCTTGGACTAGCTTGTTAGCATAACGAAAACTTGAGGGTATAAGTACAACAAGTCTTCAAATATACAAAAGATAATAAAAATATAGAATGGGTTACAATAAAGTAAGACTTTGATTACTGTGATTTAAAGAGGATAAAAACACCTCACGACCAGTAAAATAATAGAAAATAAAGGAATAAGAAAGTCTGAAGAATAAAATATAGTAAAGATATAGTTAATGAAGTAGTATACCAGCCACTAGAGGATGAGAGAGAGAAAAAAAGGAGGGAGATGATGTCATAACTCCTGTTGCAATCGTTAGAGAGGATTAGGTTTCTCGTGTCCTAGATTTGTTTCTTTTCTCTCTTATTTCTCTCTCCTTGAGCACCCTTTAAATACAGGTTATAGAAAAGTTGTTAGACTATTTTCTGGATAGAAAACAATCATAAGTAAAAGCCCAGTAAAGAAAGACATGACTCACATGAGCCTTGCTGAATGAAGTATGACCAAGGCACCCTTACACCCTGTCTAGATTAGGATTGACCAACTTTGTGTATGCTTAGTTTTCAACAATGCAATGTGACTACACTCATGAAAAATAAATTAAATAAATTACAATATAAACTTTATAAAATACCTAAAAACTAGATGATGAGGTCGCAATTTCTTTCAAGGAACTCAAGATAGAACAAGTATACCTTTTTCTTAGAACAACTATGATTCTTCCTTGACCACCATGCACAACCTTATCAACTAATTTTGCTTCCTTAGTTTAGACTTTCTCAAATAATGTATGCCATACATCCAACAACTAAAATTGATATTGTATTCATAATACTGTACGATTATTCTTTGGCTATAGGACACTATTTCATCTTGGTAGTTTAGTGTAATAGGTTTTCTTTAAATAGATAATGAGTTTAGACGGTTGTCAGCCGCTCTCCCCTCTATCCTCCGTGGTAGAGGTGATTATCCCTGTGCCTAAGTGTTTCCAAAATACACGCCACAACGTTTCTGCGATAAAAGAAGTCCTCCCCAATCACTCTCTTTCCTATCATACTGAAGATAGGGAGCCAGTAGATTTCAGGTGAAGATTGAGTATTAGAGAGGGCTTTACTTTTACGGAGATTCGGAGGTAGTGGGAGAGAGCGAATAATGATCTGTCACCAGCACTGTGGAAGACGAGGAAGGAGTTGACAGAATCATGCTTACAATCACTTACAGGAATAGATCTTATTCATCGAATCAAGCGTAAGCAGATCCGACATCTTGTCTTGAAAGACTTGTACCAAATTAAGGTATGGCGCGATTCGCCTTCAGACGCAACGTGCTTTGAGCTGTGAACTGTGAACTGTAACTCAGATTGTCATCGTCCCAAGAAATAGACTATCCAATGGGACACGTAAGAATCGACGGGCATGCGATCGTTTTTCTCCGTCAAATAAAACATTTTTCTTGGCAACTGCGGTTCGAGGCGGCTTGATGCACTGTTCACCGGAGAATGAGAAGTCAGGTTTCTTCTCTTAAACCCTCTCACCATGGCCTTCGATGTTAATGAGACTTCTGTTGAAGTATTGAATTTTTTTTCGGCTGTTGATTCCTTGATGTATATTGCTTTGCAGGAAGATTTCCCTGAAAGATTATTTTTCCCAGCTGGTAGGTGTGAACAAAGAGAGAGGGGAACAAAGTTACTCTGATACCCTGTTAACAGAAGAGAGGGGATGACAAGGTGATGATACCATGTTAACAATGGAGAGAGAAAGGACGAAAGGCCTCACACGACCAAACCTCGTTGCAACATTTATTTAAAGTACTAGAAAATAGGAGGGGACCAGCATGGCAAGACCAGAAACGTAGGAAAGACCAAGACAGGCCAAGTCGATAGACGTAGCAAGAAATACTAGACTATACTTAACAAGGGGGAGCTGTAAAAGGATAAGAGTCCGGGAGCATGGGAACTTATTTGCCTGTGTGAACTCTTCCGTTTTATTGTTGACGAGCTATTTATTGATCACGATCAATAATTATCAACTTAAGCATTTGAAAACGTACGATACCCACTGACCGATGTCTGCAACCATGAGAATACGTAGAGAGGTGGTTTCCTTCTTCTCGGGGTCGTCAGTGATATTAGGGTACCTGTACATTCCGTCTCGTCAACGATAAATCACAGGCGGGCAAAACCACAGGCGGAGTTGAACCCTAGTATACAGGAAAGATTTTCGTGCCTGCACATTTGCTATAATATGCACATCAAGGCACATTTTCGTGAGCCTGAGCACAAAGAAACTTAACTGACCGTCTGTAAGAATTTGCGATAAATATACAAGAAATGACCCAGTGAACAAGAGCAGGTACATCAAGGCCCAGTGTCAACGGGCCCTATGAGGCTTTTGGTATATGAAAACCGCATAGTAAGTCAATCCGGCTCTCCAGTTGATGCTCACTTTCCGTACAGAGACTTGTGCTGAGACGCAGAGGGCGGCCCGTTATGGCTGGGAGGGGGCGGATCGCAGAGGCGGTCGGCAGAAGGGCGTGCGTGATGAGTGGGGCGTCGTCAAGGCCAGATGGCTAGAAGAAGAGCCTGGTCCTCCTTGAAAGTATCAAGTATTATTCTGATTCTTGTATCTCCGAGTGGAGAAGGGGAGATTAGCCATCTCGAATTGGCCAACACGGGAGGTTCCTCGGGGTCCCTTCCCTCTGTCTTACCATCCCTGGACCCTTCTCTCTCTTTCTCATCGTCATCTCCGGGTGGCACCGTCAGTTTGCTTTTAGGACATGATCAATATAGGTTTTTCCGGTTCGATCCCTGAACATTAGAATCACAATATACCTATATAATTCCACAGGCGGCCAAGTCTTCTGACATAATTTGGTTTTACGTGGGGCGGTGCAGATCTTTTGTCAGGTGACTTTTCTTGTGAGAAATTCCGAAGAAATCCCCGAAAACATAATGGGTCTACCAAAAAAACGAGCGAACCGAAAAGTTAGTTCTTCAGTTTTCTTCCCAAGTACATGTAAATATTCAGCCGAGAGTGAAATATGAAGCGCACGTTAATACGATACCCTGCAAATTTTCTGATCAACCGAATATCCATCTATTACACAGTTATCAACACAAAACATTTCTATTCAAGGCTGGAAAGGTACCTCGGTCAACACTTTTATTCATTCAGGGGATGCGTGTGATATTATATACGCCGAAAGACAAAAGGCATAACATTTTTATTCGCAGTACTTGCGATCGGCATAACATTTCTCATTCACTGCTTTTTCCACTGGGGGCCTTGACCCATTTGTTCATCACCGGATACTGCGGCTGCGAGAGAATTGCACACCTGCCACTCCCGCCAGCGTTACGCTGTATCTTTCCGAAGCCGCCCTCGCCCCAACTTGTTCCCCACGAGTTCTTCACGAGCCAGTAATCGATACCATTGTAGTCCGTGCCGTAGCCTATTACGGTCAGGAAGTGATCCGTTGCCTCTCCGCACGGCCCAGTGAACACACCCTGGGAAAGATGACACGAGACTAAGAGAGATGATCCCATGCTACCAACAACTTGATGCCATGTCATATAAATATACCTTTAAGAGTGATAAAGGCAAACAATTTTAAAAGACTAAATTGTTACATAAATAGAAAACAGATTCTTGTCTGCGATGGTCGTAACCAAAACACCTCATTAAGTGAGAAGATTTTGCGACCCCGTTGTCATAATAATGCTTCTGAAACTGATTAGCTTTGTAGGGAATATGCACCCTAATTTGCCGCAGATGGCTTAAGCAACGACAATCGTGATATCCTACTGCAAATGCAAACATAAATCAAGACCAGAGAGAGTCGAAGGTAGCCTCACCGATTTGTGAAATCGAAAGCCTCTGCTGTAAGCTTCTATCAGTACACTGACTGGCTGGTATGCCACTGCATATTGCAACGCGTACGAATTGCGACTCGGCACCTTTCTAAATCCTGAGATCCTGACGACCCTTCTCTGTGATATGAAATCCATGATGAACATACCGATGAGTATAAGCACGCAGGAAAATATAGGAACCGGACGAATATTATATCATGGTCACAGAGGGCTACCCGGTCTGTCCTGCATTGACCCGCAACTCCTCGATAGGGATAGTGCCCATCAGTATCGATACCTCCGTTATCGACGATGTACTGATAGGTGTAGTAAATATACCCCGGTTTGCAACCTTCATTTCGGCTGTCGCAGTCTACAAGTTCCTGTTCGGAGAGGGTTATCATCCTTCCTGTCACGATTTTGTGCAGGCTCTCGACGGTGGCCACGGTGGCGAATGCTCGACAGCTCTCTGGGACGTTCATCCACAAGGCAATGAAATAAGCCTCAAATGAACGATAGTTAGTAGGTAAGACAACATTTCTTTATCAACGCGAACCTTACAGTTCGATAAACTACTGATGTGATGAGAATAAATTCCTTCCGAATGAGAAAAATGTGCAAATTTTCAAACAGGGAACCTAAATCCATGTAAACGTTGAGTGATTCAATGTTAGGCCACTCGATCATATTTTCTAGGTGACAATTGCATCAACAATTTCAATGCAAGAACAAAGAAGCATATGATTGAAATGATGTGCCAAAGAAGAAATCTTACTAACCGCATACGCCTTGGTTTTTCACAGCGCTGACGGCTCCCCATCTCCTCCAGTCAACAGATGTCGGGAGATATTGGCCTCTTTTCGGTATGTAACGCTTACTGACCGGAGGGGACGGCATTGCACTCAGGTTAAGCGGAGGACCCAGGTACATGGATCGGAACTCTTCGTCGCTTAGATCGGCGAACTGATTTAGGCCGACCGTGTAAGTGTTGTTGTTTCCAGGGCGGTTGTGGTCGTCCACGAATCTCAAGTTGTCTTTGAAGATTTCGAACCTCTTCGCCTTTTCGACTTCATCAGAGTACGATTTGTCGTGATTAACGATCCACTCTTCATATAACCACCTCATCTCCTGATCACTCCTTAACTCATTTCTCTCCGAACTGTCCTCGCGTACAATGGAGTAATCCAACGCGGACGAAAGACCAAACAAGGAGAGCAACAGAGCCAATACTACGGTTTCTCTCCTACACGAATCCATGATTCCCCTCCCAAACCACTCCTTGATATCTTATCGAAGAAATATGAGGAAAGGCGAACAAAGGGTGGTTTTGGAGAAAGATTTGATGTGAGTTTCACAATGCAAGACTAGCCAGGAGAACACTCGTATTTATAGACATAGGAGATTAAAGAAAGGCAGACAAGGGATATGTCGCCGTAGTGGTCAGAATACGATTGAGGTCCTCATCAATGCCGGCAAAACTCGTTTTGTGCATGAAACAGGTGCTGATGTCCTCCACCGGTTGATGATCAGAGCAAGCATATACGTCGCACCTACGGACATGAGATGGCCCGGGATGCCATTTGTATTGTCATATAAATAATTAAATATTACTCTAAGTGAAGAAGTCATAAGAACCGTGTACACGACGAGAATATTCTCCAATCATTTTCCATCATTAATTTAAACGCTTATGCCGAGAACTCATTCGTGAAACTGTTAGAATTCTCTCTCTATGACTAACGGAATTAAATAACCAATTAATAAAGCATGGGTAATACTTGTTATGGTCTGCTAAACGCAGATACTGTAAGGACACAAATCTGATACAATTAAGCTGACTTTTCTTCATTACTGAATAGGATTCCGTAAAATATATTTTCAAAGAAAATAACAGGTATTTAATCCTTCACATCAGTGACCAACGGGATCAGTAGATCCGAATTTATCCATTCTCTCTTCATGTTGTTCGATTAAATGTAACTGGGAGGAACCCGCTGCAAGTATTGATAGCCACAATCCAGGTGCAATGAAAGTGCCAGATCGGACTCCAGACACACATCTCTGATTGTGATCAAAACTTCCCCTTAAAATCGAATATTGGAATGTTTTTTGAAGTCTCTATTCTGCTTGGGACTGGCAGGTTCTACGCATCCCGATCACCTTTCAAGATTACAGCCTTATTTTATGGATGTTAAATAAGCATAAAGAATTTTTTTAAGCTATACTATGCACCTATAAACTAGAGTTCCATTACTTCCATAATTTTGGAGAAGGCTCCAGTAAAAAAGTTGGAAGTCAGCATATCTTGGAGAAGGCTCCAGTAAGCTATACTATACTTCCATACATAAGCATAAAGAGTTCCAAGTCAGCATATCTTGGAGAAGGATCCAGTAAAAAAAAACTATATCACTTCCTCCGGAAAACTACAACACTTCCCCCATCAACTTAGATGCCCATTACTTCCATACTTTTTTCCTTTTTTATATATTTCATTGCATAATAATGTGCTGCATATATCATCTTAGTGTAAAAAAGATATAGTATGCATAATATTGTGTATTTATTCAACTTTTTCATCAAACACTTTCATTAGCCATTGGTTATCAATAAAACATGAGCTAATGCTGATGGCATCACAAAACAATAGTTTCTCCACATAGTTCTGAAGATGATATCTACAGCATATTATTAGGTGGAAAATATGGAAAAAAGAGAAATTATGCATACTTTTGCATAGTCAATTTTGTCATGAAACGTTTTAATTAGTCAGTGGTTGTTGATATAACATGAGCTAATGTTGATGGCATTAAAAAACTATAGTTTCTACACAGAATTCCGAATGTGATATTTGCAGCATATTATTAGGCTAGAAATAAGAAAAGATACATGATAAGTCTTTACCATGAGTTAATAATTAATAAATAATATAGTTTTAGTCTTAACTCATAATAAATAGACTTATATTTGTCATAAATTTTGAAAAGTGATTTTATTTACTTAATGTGAATTTTTGGCTAATTATGTGATTTTAAGATAATTTATATAATTTTTTATAATCTTATTTTTTAGATAAAAATAAAATAAAATAAAATAAAAAGATAAAAAGGGGGGGACCTACTGGCCAACTAGGCCTACAAGCAGGTCAAAAGCACAATTGGGGTAGAGTCACAAGCAAGGGCTTGACCAACTATGGACTGATGGGGACATGTGTGTGTTACTCTCCTTCCATGTCACTAGTGGCTAGTTGAATAAAGAGAAACAAGTGGTCATACACATGCGAGAAAGGGGTTCATTGATTCCTAAATTTCATATTAATGTATATTTGTCTCAAAATTCAGCATATAATCGATGTGGGACTAAACCACAATCACACTTTCTCCGCAATGTTTTTGAAGATTTTAATATCTAAAACACTCTTTGTTTATTAGAAAGAGGTAGCTTGATGATGTCACTTTATAAAAGTATTTGTGAACTTATTTCACTCTCCTCATCCAAGCAGGTGACTAACAAGGGTTTGAATCCTACAAGAGTGAAAACTCACATTTTTATCTGAATAAATCACAATTTTCCTACATATCATCAATGAAAAATTAAGTCATCAAAATTACTCAATCATTGGAAAAAATATAGTCAACGTGATTCCAAGAGTATCATTACTAAAATTATTCAATGATTCACGATAAAAGGATTACAAATCTATTGAGTAAATCATCTTTAATTGATCGAAGAATAAATTGTCGTCGAGAAAAGGACAATCTGTCAAGAGACAAGTCGTCACCTCTTGAGAGCATACCAGATGCAATAAAGAGTCTCTTCTTGATGTGCGGACCTGAGGATGAAGCTCCTTAATATGTGCTTCACCTCTATCCAACTCCTCTTTATTAGGTGACAACTACTAGAGAGGTACAAAGTTGTTATTTTTTCAGTTCGTTTGATGATAGCTATTGGAGACAATTCTAGATTCTATTTCATTGATCTCTAGATTTCACAAGAAGATCTAGAGATTACCCATGTCATCCTTATTCGAGAAGAGCTTTCGAAACTATCATCACTACACAACAATCTTTCCTAATGTTTAGGATTTTAGTGCATCATTGATGCATTACCGCCATGATGCCGAAATTCTACTTTTACTATTTTTAACTTAATTTTCACTTCATTTAGAGATAATTTTTATGATTTAAAAATTTTAAACTACTCTTCATTCAATTATTATTTTTTTGGCTTTATAGATCTTTATTTGACCAATTAAATTATTTGTAATCGCTTACATAAGAATCACTAAGAAGAACTATATTTCTACTTGATTCGCATTCATTGGGTGCTGACATCATTCTAATGTCCACATCCTTATTTCCTTTTTTCGTGAGTTTTAAATATATTTTATTTTTATTTTTGTAATATAAAATTAAAAAAACCATATTCTTTGAGAAAAAATCTGAAATAATACTCGATATTATATTATATCCCTGTGACTGACTTGGAAAATTTACATTATTTTTATAACTTTTATTAAATTATAATTAATTTATTTGTTCAGACATACTTTTAAACATCCAAAAATTAATATTTTTTAGTTTTGTAAATTTTAAATTTACATGATTTAGTATACAACAACTAAGTCATGTCAATACATTATATATAATTTTTGACAATTAATTTTTTTTTCATGATACGATTTTCTTAGCCATTGGTTGTAGAGATAACATGGGCTAATGTTGATGGCTGCAAAAAATAATAGTTTCTACATATGATTCATCAAGCATCTCATTAACATGAACTCTTAAACTTTTGACCCATCTTCTTCTATTTATTCTATTAAATAAAATTATTTTCCTTTTCCTATAAATGATTTTGGGTATCACATCAACTACAAATGACTAAGTGGTTCATTGGCTGCTTTTCTTTTTTACATTATTTTCTTTAAGACTTGACTATGTACAGATAAAAAAACTGATAGGTAGTGTAAACATTTTCGATTTCAGCTATGTGCTAAGTGAGAAAGGAACTCTATAATACTCTCATGTGGTTTTCCTCTTAGTATCCACTTATTTCTTCTCATAGCTGTGTTGTTGATCCACCAAATTAGATCTGAAATTTTGTATATTGATTTCTAAATGGCATTGATATAAATTAGTGAACACAAGACCATACTACCAAAAAAAAGAGTTGTCTCATGTCAAGCTTGGAACAGTCATGTTGCTAATCATTAATGAGATGTTAGCCCAAGATTTTAAGGTTAATTGACATGTACAAACACCTAAACAAACAAACTCCAAATAACTCTTTAGCTTATAACAATAGCACTATGTAATGTAATCTATTTGTTGAGCCAAATGTAATAGACATCTGATAAAAATCATCTCTTTCATAATGCCCTATTGAGAATATTCATTTAATTTACATGGAATCATGATAGTTCTTAACATGTGATATCTTGCCTTCCCAAATCAAGCATTACAGACTTTGTTGTTTGATTCTCTTGGTTCTTACACATATAGTTATGTCAAGTAGAGCCATTATAATGTTTGAGCCTCCACAACTTGATCAAAGTTCCTAAGATCTTAATATAATTTAAGAATATATTTCCAAAGTATAGTTTCGTTCTTTAATTCAATTAATTACACTACACCATGCTTTTTGGCATTAAGGGACCACAAGAAATTTATAATTATGTTTAAAAAGAATTAAATGAAATGAAAATTATTCTCTTATTGATGTGGACTTATCATTCTATTTAAATACTCATTATCTAATAATATTTATAACTAAGACTTAATAAGATATTAATATATATGTAAATCTTATGTCGAACATAGAAAGATTAATTAATCTATTGTGAAAAATTAATTTAATTTATATGTAGAGTAATTTTAATATTTTATCACTACTTAGTAGAAATAATAATATAAAAGTGAGAGATGAGAAGAATAAAAAAACTAGAGAATGGAAGGAAGAAAAGAGAGAGAGAAGATGAGAAGAGAAGAAGAGATCTCATGAGAGAGTGGGAGAGAGAAATAAGATAATAACAAAGAAAGAGAAAAAATTATCAATCTATTTTTATGATGACCATGATTCTCGGATGAATGTGTACTCAAGAGGTTCACACATATGACATGAGGTCAATTGTGAATGTCTTCACCTTATTTTACCACTTAAATGCTCATTAAAATCAGAAAAATAAAATTTTATTTATAAAATACTATGAACATAAATATTTAGAGATTTAACTGAGAAAATTAGTAGAAAATAAGTTG